CGATAAGTAGTCCCGGGTATTTGTTGTAGCCCATTGCATTTGTCGGGTTTGTCATTCCTCCCTATCAAAAACATGGGTAGATAGTACCGTATATATACATTGAGGCAAATGTATATATCTGTTATTTACATGGGACTATTAATCTTATGTTGTTAAAAAAGTTGTTTAATTTCTTAAATAATGTTCGTTAATTACACGGTCATGTGTATTTTAAAGAGGATATTTTGTAAAATCGATCTCTTTTTTTCTAAACGTTGATGTCGTGATAAAAAAGAGACCAATTTTATTAATTATTTTGCTAATTATTTTGTAAAATCGATCTCTTTAGTCCAAAAAATGTTTTTGCTAATTATTTTAAAATGAGCTTTTTTAAAAAAGTACTCCTTTTCCAAAATCCTAGATCAGTTGTCCGCTCAACTCTAAGTGTGAGAGTCAAGGCATCACATTCACATGACAACCTCCATTTCCTGTTTATAAACAATTAGACTATAAAATCATAACTCTCAACCGTGATCTCAATTGTGAAGTTTACCCAAGTGCAAAGGACTACTAAACATTTTTATTGGCAAACTTTTCGAAAAAAACATAAACATAAACAATAAATATCAATATCTATCCCTTAGAAAAACGGGTCTGCAGTGGCAGGAACTCTCACACAAAACTTGTCACAACCTTAAATTTTGGGAAAGGTTAAAAGGCGTTGTCACATTGCATCCAAGTCTTCAGTAAAGGCTCCATCAGTCACAGTTGTGAGCAGTTGGCCTACTACTTTTACTATCACTAGTGGTCCTGGCTTCAATTGGCTGACGTTTTCAAATCTTAAAGGATTCGAGAAAAAGATTAAAAAAAATGAAAATGAAAATTTCCAAAATAATGTTGTAATGTAGATCAAGACATGGTAGTTGTAGGTTACCCATCTATGGTTTTTAACTGATGCACCACTATAAAATGCTTCTAATTTGCAATTGGCACCCATGCATTGATTCCGAAGATATTCCTCTTTCGTCTTGAATCTTATGTCTCATCTATTGTAAATAAGTGCTCAAATTTTTTGTGCATATATTTTATGTAACATAATTTTGAAATTTAAATTGATGAGTCTAGATTCACTAATTTTCATGCGAAAGCATTCTCTAATAAGTTCTAAATTGATTATTAGTAAACTAATAATTGTGACTCTTCCAACAAGATCTCTTGTGATTGTATGCTCTTAGTTAGTATTTGTACATCAACCTTTGCAATTTTTTAAGGGCAATAAGTAACGAAAATTGAAGATTCACCTCAGATAATCTTTGTTATGAACTAACATCTTTAACCTGAGAACTAATAATTTGTATCTTGTAAATTAACCTTCGCTCCACTTACAATTTCCACTAAATAAAAGATGTAATATGCAAGATTAAAGTTGCAACAAATTTACAAAGACTAATTATCCATTAAATTTGGTGATATCACATATGCGAAAATGCCCTTCACCACTTTATCTGAAATTGACATGTTAGTGTGGGCCAAAGTGACAGTCCCATCGTTTTCCCATCAGTAGGAATTTTCGGGAACCACAGGATTAAATTACTCCTTTCCCATACTTTTTCCAAACGCCTGACACCAAATGATAAACTCAAAGTCCCGGACACCTGTCACGTCCTTAAAGGACCACGCCTTCATCTAGTTCTCTTTTCCCTACTCCTTTGTTTTTCTTTTATTTTGCCATGATTTCCCCCCGCTCTTTTGAGAAAAGATGTTGAATTGAAAGGTGGATGTATGGACGGTGGGGAGTCTCCCGTCTTTGGCTTTGGCTTTGCTCCCCTCACAAGGGTCCAGGAAAAAGCGCAATGATGAGCTTTGGTCTCAGTGGAGGGTTGCTTTCTGAAAAGTAAATTAAAATTAACCCTTCTTAACTTGGAAGTATGGACGTTTATTAGGTAACTCCCTATAACTTTTAAAATATCAATAAACAACCTTTATTAAATTTAGGGGTTATTACTAAAAATTCTTTTAACTTTATTTTTTTCAAAAAAAAAAAAAGAAAAAAAAACTTCTATCAAGATGAACCCCAATTTTTTATGGAACAATCTCCACCAAGTGTATTTATGAGGCATTCTCTCTCCTACTTTATTCACTTGGTGGAGATTGTGCCACATCATTGTATATGAGGGAATCCTCTCATATGACATATGATACCCATTAATCTCCACTATGTATTATGTTTAAAATTGAAGTATATTTTTTATTTTTGGGAAGAGTATGAGTCCTAGTCCTTCTATGTTGAGTGGGATCACCCCACTTTACATAGAGTGGATGTGCCTATGTTACCTAACCATATGAAATTAATTGTGGTTAACTCTGTTTATGGAACATCCTCATAGAATTTTATAGTTAAAGAGATTTTCTGATAATCCCTAAACTTAAAGGGGGTTTTCTCATATTTTAAAAGTTATGGAGGGTTATATGATAATTGTTAGGGATGCTAATTCATATCTGTATCTGAGAAAATATTTTATAATTGTATCGGTTAGAATATGGATATTGTTACTAAAATCCGCAACCGATATGATATGATTATGGATATAGTTTTGTAGTGAGATATCAAGATCCGTATCCGAAATATCCAAATACATTGCTTATGCTGATTTGAGATTAATTTTGATGATAAAATGTCTAGTCTTAGCTTTTTAGATATAGCGAACACATTAATGAACTCTTTTGTATCACATGAACTATATATTTTTTAATGTTGTCTAGTTTTCTCATGTCTGTTTTGTATCTACATGCATATACGTTTATATATCCACATGTAAATCCGTATCAATATCCGATTTTTATCGGATATGAATATAAAATTTTCTTACCGAGATATATCAGTATTCGTGATGAGTATGTGGATATGGATATGAAAAGTGTCACATCCAAGCCGTATCCGGGCCGAATGTAGCCCTAATAATCCTCCAAAGTTATGGAAGTTTTTCTGATAGTCTAAAAATAAATAAAGGATTATTTGCACTTAAATACCTTTAAAATTTACACCAATTTTACTTTTTATATCCAAAAATATTTTCCCCAAAAATATCCTAAAATCTGAAAATATTCAACTTCGACACCCAAAAACAATTAGCTAGGGTAAATCTTTTTTAACCTTGGGTATTTTATGGGGAAAAAAGTTTTCAAGGTAGGAAAGTTACACTAGTAAAAATCGAAGCATCCTAGATGGAATATCCTAGATGGAAAAATTTTCGTCTGGGATGCGAGAAACATTAACGAATTTTTTTTATCTATGACATTACGTCTAGGATGAATCATCCTAGACGAAAAACCGTCTATGTACCTTTTTTATAGACGGTTCTTCGATTTTATTTTTTTTAAATTGGGTCCCACCTTCATAGATAGAAATTTTTGTCTAGGAAGGTGGGACCCATTTTTCAAAAAAATAAAATTGAAAATTGCTAAATTTTATCCTCAAATTACCGGAAGAACTTCATCTATTCGACAAATCACTGAATAGACTGAAGGCTGAAGAAGTCAAGAATTGAAGCAGTTCATAGATCCCTCTACGAGATTGAGAAAAGGGCCTATCTTATCCAAACATTCCAGACTCTTCTATAAAAGAGCCCGCCTAGCCGCACTACAAGAAATTACATCTTTAACGAAGGGGTTTCCCTTCGTTAAAGATCTGAAAACCTTCGTTATTGTATGCTAACGACGGGAAAAAATCCCTTCGTCACCCGTTGTTGAAGCCCTCTTCGCTAAAGGGTCACGAAGGGATATACTACCCGTCGTTATAGAGTCTATAACGATGAAACATATTACCGTCATTAATATTTACGACAGTAATTATCACCGTCGTTACCATCAGCGACGGGGATATTTTCCCGTCGTTACCATCAGTGACGGAATATTTTTCCCATCATTACTATTAGTTACGAGGATTTTTTTCCGTCGTTACCATTAGTTACGGGGATATTTTCCCATCGTTGAAGACTAATTAATGACGGTTGGATACCATCGTAAAAAATTATCATAATGGGTAATTAGTAACCCCATCAACGACGATGATTTCCCCTCGTTGATGAACAAAATACGGTTTATAAAATCGTCATTGTAGACTACAAATTTCTAATATACATTAATAATAAATTTTTCATTCATAGGCAACTATCATATTATTCTCAACCTGACACTAAGATTCACAACAAAAATATATTAAAAATACCCATTAATGAATAATGAAAAATAAAAATTTCATTCATTAATAACATCAATAAATAAAATTCCATCATCCTCAAATATTCAATACTAATAACAAGAGTTAATATCCTAATTGTTTCAAAGAAAAATACATGAAACTATCTAAAACAAATTAAAATAAAAGTTAATATCCTAATTGTTTCAAAGAAAAATACATGAAACTATCTAAAACAAATTAAAATAAAAGTTTGGGAAAGACACAATCTTTCATCTCTATTCATCGTCATCACCAGCACCAGCATCACCAAAGGACTGCAATTTTCTTCATACTGAGTTTCTAAGTTGCCAGTTTCTAGAAAAGTAGATACTGGTATCCTGCTATCATACCTGCAGGAAGAAAAATATATTCCAAATATATCAATGAAATCAATAAGTATCCCAATTATTCAAAGAGATTTGTAGAGCTGCAGTGATATGTTTGCATCTGAGGACCAAGACCGTGTAGTTATAAAAATAAAATGCAAATTAACCCACTATATTACTTGAATGCAAATGCTTTTCCAACAACTTTACAGGTGCTTCATACACATAATCTTTTCCATACTGTAAATATTTAAACAAAAAAAAGTGCACTCACAGTGAAAAGGCTGAAGAACTCGAATGGTTCAGAATCCTGCATTCATTCTTCTCTTTCTTTTCAACATGACTATGATTGTATCTACTCAATGACAGGTCCAGTAAAGGTGTAGAATCTGGGCTGCAGCTGAACTCCTCATCACACGATACAACTTCTTGAGTATAATAAAGGTTATCGTTTTTTGCACTATTTTCCCTTGGCTCATAACTACACCCTTGCTGATTATCTATTGTGCTGATCAAATTGATGAGTTGCTTCTGAGTTGCAGTATCTAAGATTACTCTTCTGCGATCAATTGATCATTTGCGACGCATGCCCCATTGAGAGGTGCAAATTCTGAAACCAGCATAACAAATGCCACACATTAAATTTTGTAAATAGCAATGGTAATATAAAATATTGACAAGAAATATGAAGAACAGTACCTTCAGCATTTCATCCAAACTTTCATTCATCATTCTGACATATAGTCTCAGAAGAACAGTACCTTCAGCATTTCATCCAAACTTTCATTCATCATTCTGACATATAGTCTCAATTATATTAGAATAATCCTTGCATGTTCTCCGCTGAGGCTCTATGTTACTTTGTTTGCACACGCTCTCTACTTCCACATCTGACTTTGTACAAGAACTCTGCACTACAATATAACTAATCAGAAACATGACACGAAAGAATAAGCTAATTAGGAGCAGTGTATCAAACATAACAAACTCTTTCCAGTACTTTCTAATCAAAGCTTAGCTTTTACTCAAAGTCATTGTTTCTTCTAACAATATATATTTATGTGGAAAACAAGCTTATGTGTGGAAGCTATTTCCTTGTAAAATAACAAAATTGAGAGAACTTACTTTGGCATCACTCCCTTTCTCACCGTCTTCTTTATTGATATGCATTGGAGGTACTGATCCACCACTAGTTGCTTTGCTTTTCGAGGATTAGCTTCAAATGTTTTCATTGCATTATCATCTTGGTGAACACCTTTATTGCCAATGCCATCATTTAACTGGAAAAGTTATAAAAGACGGTGATTAGCAATACCAAAATATAACAAGAGTGATAAGTACTTCATGAGTTTACTTAATAGTTAGGGCTCAATTGTGGATGCATCCCCTATAGTATAACTATTTTGAACTTGCTGGTACTGTAGTTTCATTATTTTGTTCCAGATGGTCCCTTTTTTCAACTCTTATATCCTCGACGTAAATAATGAGTCCGAGTGTAAAAGAATCGAGAGGATTTAACCTGGAGTGTTTTTTTTTGTGGGTGGGGGTGGTATCACCCGCGGAGACACCCTATAGAGGATGGTATCAAGTGATACCACCTTATATCAAAAAATAACCTAGTATAAACCAGATTATCACTTATTAATGACACTACACTAGAAGTAAGTAGTGAGTAGTAGTTCATTTGAGAATCACCCCTAATGGGCCAAGCCTTCGATGACCCAATCCTAAGAACCTATTTTAAGAATGTAAAATGAACAATTAAGTAGGTGTAGGTCTATCGCCTGGTGTTTATGAAGCTACAGAGAGAGGTTGTTACAACAGAAATTATAAAGAATCATATGCGAAATTGAATGTGAGATCAATGGATGAACAATGACTCAGCAACTAATATTGAAAAATATGTATGTAGTAGTATTTCGAAAGAGGCTATAATGCAACAATTTCATAATATGATGACACTTGGGCGTGAATTGCAACAATGTAGTTGTACTTTTTGAGAATATATCTTATTAAAGTTAATATATCTTCTGTATCTTATATTAAGTTTTCCTATTATGTATTAATATGAGAGAAAATTAGTAATATCGTCTTTTATATATACTGCGACACCACTATTTTGAATTCATGGCACTGTCACTGGGGTCTTAAGTGCAATTATCCCTAAAATAGTTACACATAAGGTTGAAGGTTGAAGGCAACATACAGTTTGTCTCCTCCAAACGTGCTGCCACAAGTTCCTCAGCTCATTTTTACGGACATGCTTCACGAGGAAGTCTGCCGCGCCTTTCAGCATGCAGTTGAAAACTATGTTGACAGAGTCATTGGAGGACATCACTGCATATATGACACACACACACACACACACACAAAAAAGATGAGATTGCAGAACACCAACAAGTATATGTTTCTCTTGGAATAATTTCAAGAGACATGGTATCATACTTATCACAGGAATGTGCTTGCAGCCCTCATGATCCATTATCATAGAAAGGAGGTTAGTTCCCAAGATCAACAGGACCTCAACTTCAGCGAGAACTACATCGATACTATCAGGCCTTTCCCTTACTATCTCCCATGCTTTTTGACCATCAGATACTGCAACCACTGCAGAAAAAGAAAATGCAGTATAGATAAAATATAGTCAGAAATTAAGTAACACAAATGCACAGACAATTTTACCTAATTAAGATGGAAGGTATGGTGCTGATATATAGTTTTATAGTTGCAGATACTTGGGAAACCATAATCTTGGGGAAACTATTATATATGTGTAATGATCGAGAATTTTGATACTGGTTAAAATAATTTTTTAGTATTTTAAAATATTTAATTATGTTTTTTAAAATAGTATTTATATTTTTCTCGAATTTCTACAAATTTTTATGATTTAAAGTCTAAGTTTTATATTTATTTAAATGATATTAATATTTATGAATTAATTTTGTGCGGTGAAAATTTATAAAATTTATCTGTTGCGTTATCGATGCTGTTACATGTCATTTTGAATAATACGTTGTATTATTTTTATTATTATGTATATTTTCGTATAATACGTTGTATTATTAATTATATATTATTTGTATAATTTGCTGTATTATTTCTACTGTTACATATTATCTGTCGCATTAGTATAACTTGTACGTTTCACTGTGTATATAATTATCCCATAACTGTTTGATTTTAAATATAAGTAAATATATTTTATTTATTAATTATTCTGTTTAATTGTACAATATGGGTATATTTCGACTATTCCGTATCAACTATTGTAATAGCACAACATGTACGTTTTTAATTGTAGATAATTATTATGTAATTAGTTTAATTTTTAAGTACCCAAAAGTATTTATTTTAATTATTTTAACCTTAACCCTAAACCCTAATATATATATATATATTATATATCCTCTCTCTCTCTCTCTTTTTCTTCAGCCGCCGGACCCTCTCATTACTCTCTCTCATCTCCATCTCAGAATCACCGCAACCCCACTTCAAACCTCATTCCCCCTCCCCTTCGCTGACCACCGAAACTCTGACCAATCCGCTCCGACCCACTGACACACGCCGGCCTCCTCCTACTGTTCGTCAGCCCCAACAACCCTCCTCCACGCCCAAGCTTCAACCGCCACTGAGCTCGAGCCCGACGAACTGCCACCACTCAAACCCTCTGACGAGTCACCCACCGCCTGAGACCCCGAACGGCCACTTCCCGCCACCCGCGTCAGGCCCGTTAGACTCCACCTCCGATGACGCCATCCCCCCCCCCCCCCCCCCCATCCACCAAGCTCGACGCCTCAAACCCACTCTAAACGCCCGCACCCACCAGACTCCGCCGTCCTCGCCGATCTCCGCGCCAGCCGAGTCCCTACCCTCAGCCCCTTGGCTAACCTCCAGCAGCTCTGCACTGAGCTCTTCGCCGCTGTCGTGCAACTCAACCCGTCCACCCTCACCGTTGTCCGCCCCCTCGTCGCCAACGAGCGTCGCCGAGATCCCGTAGCCCTCGCCGGAGTTCCTTCCGACACCGCGCTCCTCCGCGTCAGATCCAGTTCGCGTCGTCATCGTCGATTCATTCGACGAACCCCGAGGCAAGATCCCGAACCTTGATTATTTCATTTTAATTATTACTTTATCGTAAATTATTATGTGACTCGTCATTCAATTTTTAGATCAGTTATGAGTTAATTAATTAGATTAGTCTGTGATATATTATTACATGCGTGGGATTTGTTGATGAATGATTGTATGGAACTTGTTGTTTTATCACCTAGTTGCTATCCAATAGGAGAGACTGTACATGAAGACGACTTCTGTTAAAAGTATGATTTATAAGCGTGCTTAAAAGCATGGCTATACACGCTCGACATCGATATCCCGATGTGACGAGTCCCGAGTTCCCTAGATATCGATATCCCGGTATGAGGTTTCCTTGATTATTATTATTATTATTATTATTATTATAGCATTGACTAGACGATGCACTCTTGATCGGACGTGTTGTGGGTCACGGTTATCTTCATAGTTTTACAGAAGTCGTTCCACGGTAACTCCGTGGCTAGTGCACAATATTTCATGTACAGTTGCTTAATTAATTTGATAACATGGGGTTATAAAGGGGGATTGGACGGAGAATATAACATGTATATAAACGAGCACAGCACTTTCTTGTCATCGTGATATCGTGAGTGTTATGTACATAGGCCACAGGGCCAATACTTGACTTGAAGGCGGCGCCCGGACGACTTTACGGGGACCCGATTATATACATCAAAATATTCTTCCCCAATTCAAATAACATGTAAAACAAGAATAATATGCTTGCGTGCTTTATGGTGGACCTTGTTAGTTTTGTTGAGATGTAGATCAGTGTTGTTCTTTTTATACATAGATCGGGATTAATATTTAATTATTTACAATTTGAGACATATGGTATATACATGAGGGTTTCCTTGTTTGGATTATTTCGCTCGACGTACTACGTCTCAAGTTGTAGATTTTTAGGTATTAATTCCATCTATTGTATGCCTCTGTTGCTTGGATGATTATACTGATCGCTAGCTACATGATCTCGTTACCTGATCGATTCTGGATGCTTTATGTTATCATGATTTAGTAGTGTTTTCATGTTGATTTGTGGATTTCAGTTGTACGCACTTTTGTTGTTTATGTTATCGTATCGTTTTCGCATTGGATTTTCGTTCATTTTATTTTCTTTGTGGGGTCGAGTCTTGCCGTGCACCATGCACCTGACGTACACCTGTTTTCTCTAGTGTACGTCAGACTTAGGAGAAGAACAGTTTCAACAGGAGCCAGAAGATTCTCAGCAGGAGTGCCTTGTAGATGAAGCAGAAGAAGCCGAAGTTTAGTTATTCCCTCCAGTTGTTCGATGGTCTTAGCTTATTTTTGTAGTTCTTTCTTTTTCATTGATCGATGTATTTTTGTATCTCCTCAGCACTCATTTGTTCAGATAGTTTTGTATAAGGGCATGTTGACCCGAATATTATGTCTGGGATGAATATTCATTTGTGATATGTGTTATTTTATTCTGTGTTGTTCATTATATTCTTGTTGATTGTGATCGGGGACTTGTGATTTCGCATTGTATTTATTTCCAGACGCTTAGCGTATTAGGTTGAGGAGAAACATTTATTTATTCTCCTTGATCTAATACGTCACGGGCTTGCTCGCGTTCCGGTTCCCCTGTATTTTGGGAAGCGGGGCGTGACAGGTTTTTTTGGTGGCCCATGCAGGTCCCGGTTCCGATCACGGTCCCGAGTACTCACTAGTGAGAATATGATGGACAATTTAGATACATATCATGATTTCATCCGTGAGACTATTCCTGAGCCCTTATCTTGTCTTCTTGATAGATTTCATTTCGTCCCTATCTTATCACTCTTTGACTCTGGAGTTTCCATGGTTCTTGTCTCATCGCTTCGCGATTATCCTCTCTTTGTATAACTTCTCTATCCTCATGCCCGTCATTATTTTATATGTTATTATTTTACACTATATTTTCTTTGACTTGACTTGGTATTGTTTGATTGTATTGAATTCTATATTATTTATTATATTATATTATGTATCACATACAATGTTATATTGTATGTTTTCAATTGTTTATAAATCTATTTTATCTTTCATAGTTCATGTTTTATGTATTATACATTCTATTTATGTATATTACACTGATTGTATTTATATGATTTTTGACTATTATACAATATACTACTATGTCTAAATTGATTTTATATAGTGATGATTATTATTGTTGTATCTTGTTTATATTTATGAATATTATTAATACTTCTAATTTATCATATTGTTTGTCAAATATATAATTATGTTCTTCTTATTATGTTTTATATAATATGTTTATCTTGAATCACGTGTTTACTCTTATGTCTATTTTATCATATAATATTTTATGACTCCTTCCATCAAAATTTATTTTTGTTAGCATGATTAGTACCATGAGTATACATACTTTTTATATGCTTATTATTATGTATGTGTTTTCATTTTTAACGCTTATTATACATAATGATTATATTTGTTATATACATCATATGTTTCTGAATCTTGTTTATCACTTTTGCTTTTATATCTTTTATTTCTATACTTTGATTTTATTTGTGTTTCTTTGAGCCTAACTATGATTTTGTATTATTTACTTGTTTTATATAATTGTTTGTATACTAATAATTATTGTGTATCGTTTTATTCGACTATTGATGATTATTATGATTTGCATATGTTTGTTTGTCTATATGTATTGATGTGTTTCTATCTATGTTTATTTCTTAATATTATTTTTAATTGTGATTATGTATGTTCTGTACACCTTAATCTTATTGTACTTCTGCCTGATTTGTTCTGCATTCTTGTCTTATATCTTGTGCTTTCTAGTGATATTGCATCATTCTCGTGTTTGGTATATTTCAGTCATTTTACATTATCATTGTCTACTATTGTATATTATATTATGAGTGCATTATTAACTTGCTAGCTTATTTTATTACGTATAAAGTAGTTTCATTTAGTATATTTTATTTAATTCTTTACTTTCAATTACATGTATCATCATTGTTTGATTTAATTTATCAATCATTTACTTAGTTTTGTTTATGTTTTGTTTACTTATTTTCTATATACAGTTTCTTATTCATTCTAATACTTACTTTTTATTTTGTTCTTTGTTCATGTTAGTCTACTTCATTTATTTAGTCATAATATTACTATAAAGTATGT